ATCTATATTTATATCTATATCTTTATGGCATGTACAGAATATGTATACTATTTTTGTATTATTTGTTTGTCATATCTCTATTCTTAATACATAGTCAATTTTAGTAAAAGTCCCATGTGGTGTTGGGAAATACTTATATTCATTAGCAGTTCCATTTAGAAAACATCGTATTTTGTCTTTAGTTTCTTAGGCAATTTGTTCAGTTCTATATTTTCCCCTTTTGTTTATCTTTTTGTAGATTTTTTCCAAAATTGAGAGTGGGATATTATAATCTCCTGCCATCCGCCCACCCCAGTCCCTCAGGCTTGCAAACTAGAAGTCATCCTGAATTCCTTGCTCCCTATATCCAAGCTATTGTGAAGGCCTGTTGATTTTACTGTTGTAACATCTCCTGAACATGCCCCATTCTCTGAAACTGCCACCATTCAAGCGCATGCACTCATTACCTTATGCCTTGATTACCGCAATAGTCTGCTGGTGGGTCTGCCTACCTCAAGTCTCTCCCCACTTCAATCTATTCTCCATTCATCCACTAAAGTGATTTTCCTAAAACCAGTCTGATCATGTCACCCTCCCTTCATAAATAAATAAACTCTGGTGGTTTACCATTGCTTCCAGGAGCAGATGCAAAATGCTCCGTTTAGCATTCAAAACTCTTCATAACCTGGCTCCCTCCTGCTTTTCCAGTCTTATTACACCTTACTCCCCAACACATGATTCTTGATCCAGTAACCTTGGCCTCCTGGCTTTTCCACAAACAAGGCATTCTATCTCTGTGCTCTGGGCATTCTCTGGCTGTTCCCATACCTGGAATGCTCTCCCGCCTCCACTCCTCCTGCTGACCTCTGTGACTTACTTTAAGTCCTAACTAACATCCCACCTTTTACAGGAAGCCTTCCCAACTTCTTTTAATTCCAGTGCCTTCCCTCTGTTAATTATTTCCTATTTATCTTGTATATAGCTTGCTTAGTATATATTTGTTTGCATTTAGTAAGTTCTTTGACGTCAAAGACAGTCTTTTTTTTTTGTATCCTCAGGGCTTGGCACAGTGCCTGGCATATAGTAGGTTATAATAAATGTTTATTGAGTTAAAGTGAATTGGATTCATGGTAGACATAGAATAATTTTGCATTATTCTAATTTCCTTTCCTTTATATTGAAAGTCTTCTGGCTATATTTGCAGAATTTGTTGATTGTCATTAGAATTGTTAACTTAAGTGACTAGCTTTAGAGTTTGCAGTGTAGAGATTTTTTTTTTCCCCTGGAGGTAATATATGGATACTTTTAACTGGCATAATATTCTATCATCAGAAATTCTGCAGAGTTTTCTCACTATTTTTTCATTATGGTGTTCAGGTTTTTTAACTTGTGTTCTTCTGGGAGACCTATAATCCTTCAGTTATTTCAATGCATACTTTTTTCAAGATAAATATGCTTTGCTTGTATAGACATCATGTTTTATTTTACTGTTATTGCTTTGAGCTTCTGTTCTTCCAGATTGTCTCTGTATTCACTTCTGTGTATTTGCACTCCTAAACATTTGTTCCCTTTTATATTTTTTTTTAGTGAGGTTTTAATTGCTTAAGGGTGCTTTGGTCTAATTACCTAAGTAAAAGTGCTTTTGTATTTTTTGCAAATCTACATTATACCTCAAATATTCAAAGGTTACTGATACTTTTTTACATCATTGTGATATCCCATACTATCCCTACCAAAACTTTTTTTTAATAAAATTCTAAGTAAAACAGCTGAGATGTTGACCATGTCTGACAACACAGATGTCTCATTGTATAATCTCTTGTTCACCACATAGTATCTTGCAATAGAGGTAGGTATATTTCATCATCAGTCCTCCTCTGGAGTCACTATCTTTTTCCAAAATTAGGTTGTTCATATGCCCTCTTTTCTTAATATGGAAACATTTTGTGTAAATGTTCATCCATTTGACTTTTCTCTAATCATTTCCTTACAGCTTTGCTTTTTTATGTCTCATCTCTGCCATTCTCTCTTTTTTTTCTTGCTTCATTAACATTTTCTACTATATATTTCTACAGATAGTCTGTACTCTCTGGATGACAATTAGGTGCAACAAGATCTTGGTTGGCTACAGCATTGAGTTTAATGTAATAAGATTAAATTTTTAGATAATTGTAATAAGATTATATATGGATGAAAATCAACTTCATAAGTAAAATATAGGGCAGCATGGTCAGATAGTTTGAAAATTATTTGGGGCTCTATATATACCAGGCACAAGATGAATTAGCAGGATGATGTGGCAGTCAAAAGATATAATGTAAACTTTCACTGTATTAAGAGAGCCCTAGCTTCAAGGAATAAGGATATCATGGTTTCCCTGTATTCTGCTCTATCAGAATATATCTGACCAGTATTATATTCATTTCTGGGCACCCCAGTTTAAAAAAGACACTGATTAAACCAGAGAGGGTCCAGAAGAAGGCAACCAGAATGGTGAAGAACCTTGAATCCATGCCATATGAAGACTGGTAGAAGGAATCTATTATGTTTAGGTTGGACAGAAGAGATCTGGAGGAACAAGCTAACTCTTTTCAAGTGGCCAAAGAGCTATTGTGTGAAATAGCGATTAGGCCTGTACTTTTTTGGCTGCAGAGGGCAGAACCAAGAGCAGTGCTAGAAGTTGTGAAGAGGCAAATTTAGGTTTATGTCAGGCAAACTTTTCCAACAATTAGAGCCATCCAAAAGGAGAACAGGCTGCTTGAGAGGGCAGTGGACTCCTCTCCTTGAAGGTGTTCAAGATAATCATTTGATGAGTATGTTGTAATGGAGATTTGTTTCGGCCTATGGATCGGGCTACGTGACTGCTGAGGCCCATTCCAACTAAAATTCTATGATGCTGTGATTTTGAGCTTTTTAATTTTTTTGGTCTTTTTTGTGTTCTCAAGAATTCCAATTTCTATTTTTATGTAGTTATATAATTCTTTTATTGAGTTTTAAAACCACTCTGAGGTTATTATAGTTCTGCCAGCCTTTCCTCTCCTATAAATACTATTGTACATATGTTTCCACTGTACTTGATTTGGTGGTAAATGCCTAACAATAGTGTTACTGGGCCAAAGGTTGCTTTCTGCTTAGTAACTTTTTGACCATAGCTCTAAAGTGTTTTCCAGAATGGTTAAATCAATTCATGGCTGCTCCATCAATACTGCATTATTGTGCCTGTACCTCTCACAATCCCTCCAAAAATTGCTATTTTTCTTTTTTGTCATCTTTGCCAATCTTATGATTATAATGCGGAACCTCAGAGTCATTTCAATTTGCATTTCTCCTATTTTTAGTGATTTGGAGCATTTGTTTTTTCATGTGGTGGTAGTGGATAGCTTCTATTTCTCAAGTTGAGAACTGCCCTTTTATATCCTTTGACTTATGTTTCCAATGGGAGAATTTTTGTTATTAACTTTTAATTTTTTGTTTTTTATTTGTTTTATTTTTGTTATTAATTCTTTACATATTTGCCTCTAAAACCAGTGTTATCTTAAATAAAATTAGCCATAATGTCTAGAAAGAAAAAGGTACTCTTCTGTCTTAGAACATATCAAGAACATGTCACGTTCAGTTTCAGGCACCATACTTTAGGCAGGACATTTCTAAGCTGGAAAGTTCCTGGAAGAAAGTGACCAGGCTGGTGAAGGGCTTCCAGATCTTGCTATATGAGGATCATTTGAAAGAAACAGGGAGGGTTAGCCTTGAGAACAGAATATTTGGGTAGGATATGATAGCTTTTTTTGTTTGTTTCTTTGTTTGTTTTAAGATCATCATAGGAAATAGAAATTAAATTTGTTCATTTTGGCTCCAAGTGGCAAAACTAACAGCAGTGTTTGGTAACTGCAGAGAAAGCATTTATGGCTTGATATAATATTTTCTAAGAATCAGAGCTTTACAAAAGTGGAATAAGCTATATTCCACCTTCTCCACTGGAGTTTTGCTAGCAAGGCTGGATGACTCTATTAGTTATGCTTTAGAGAGGCATCTTCTTCAGGTATAGCTAGGACAGAACTGCCACCTAACCCTGTGATTCTGTGAATGATGGAATAGAAGACATACTACATCATTATGCTGTTCATGGCCATTTGAAGCTAGCCAGAATCACACTGTTCATAACTTTTTTACAGTTTTTAAAAATATCCAAGTTTTATGAAACCATAAGTTACATTTTCTTAGAGGGTTCTAAATTATTTCTCTCTGGTTTGCTGTATGTTTACTGTATAAAGAGCCCTCTTTCTTTCACATAACAATTTATTTAAACACACAATATGACTTTACTCTTCTGATCAAATAGCCCTTTTAGTGGAAGGGAAATGATAGAAATAAAAGTGGATGTTGAATGATAGGAAGAAATGATAGATGGGCAAATTAGAGGTAATAAAAGGATGGAACAAGAAGATGAAAGCAATTCCACCGAGTTTGGTGAAATTAAGTCATTCTGTCTAAGCTCTTAGTGTTTTTTTTAAAGTATTACACAGAACCATTATGCCCTTAAGGAAACAAATCAAGAGCAAGTGAAGTATAATAGAAAATGTACTTGACTAGAAGTCCCTAGACCTCTATTCTAGTCTGGCTGATCTGTTCTGTACAAAGTCTTTAATCTGATCCCCAGCTTCCTCATTGGTAAAATGAAGTATTTGGTTTACATGATATAACATCTAATACAGGCCTAAAATTCTATTATTTATGATTCTGTGATTCAACTTAGTTATACAACTATTAATTAAGCAAGTACCATGTGCTAAACATTGTACAAGGTGCTAAAAATACAAAACAAAAACAAAGCATTTCTGCTTTCAAGGGAGTTTACATTTCATTGTGATTCCAATATTGAGATGATTTAATAATCCTCATCCAATATAGTAGACACTAGTTTCTCAGCAGGTTAATATTTTTGTAAGGAATTTTAGTGTCTCTGGTTCTGATATCTAACATGATTAACATGCTTTAAATTTTCTCTTTGTCGTTTCTATTAGGAAAGAAATGGAACAATGCTGTGACCCAGCCAATCTCTTTGCTATGACTAAACAAAATTCCCCTATGGGGAAGAGCATGTGGTATGATGGAGAATTATTGTACTCTTTCACCATTGACAATTCAACTTACTCCCTTCTCCCCCAGGTTAGTATCTATCAGTTTGATGTGTTTTAATCACTTCATATTTCTCTAGATTTGACAACAATGGCTAATTTGGAGTGGATAATGGATTTATTAAATTATTTGTTTTACATCTTTTCACGTATATTCTCTCTTCAATCAGCAACTTTAACATCAACCAGAATTTATGTGCTTACTATATGCAGGGCAGAAGAAATAAAGGTTAAATACAACAAGGTCTTTACTGTCTTCAAGTTCACAGGAGATATAATACATACTTATGTGAACAAAGACTTGGAGGCAGGAAAGTGTAGACCACATGCAGTTTGACTAGACTGTGTCTGGGTAGAATAGAAGTGGGTATATGCCAGTGTGGCACATTAGAAAGAATTCTGGATTTAGAGTCAGAGGACCCGTGTGTGTGTGTGTGTGTGTGTGTGTAGCAGCATTTGGAGAAAAATCTCTCACATGTAACAGGGTTATTTTTACCATTAACCTCACTTATAGGTCACTTTTGAACTAACTTTTCATGAGCTCCTCAGTAATTGTTCATATTTTCACTCTCTACAAAACTCCAAGTATCCTAGCATTAAATAAATATTAGTTACCAGATTTATTTACTGCAGAATCAACAATTACAAAGACTTAGACAATTACTTGCACTTAAGCTGGGAGAAAAATAACACCCAGAATCACCTTGAACCATCACTGCAACTTCATATGACTTTACTTCTGAAAGCACAGTCCCACACTATTCAGTTCATTCATTTAAGATAAAAAGAAAATGCTTCTAACACATATGAATAATCAAGTGAAGCAAATTCCCTCATTAGTCATGTCCAAAATATATATTTCTTTTGCTTCATTTCAAGTCCATCACTTCTCTGTCAGGAAGTGAATAGTTTGCTTTCTTTATAATGTTTTCATTATATAAATTGTTCTCCTGGTTGTGCTCGTTCATTCTGAAACCATTCATACAGGTCTGCCCATTTTTTTCTAAAACTATCTTTAATGATTTCTTATGGTACAATAATATTCTATTATACTCATATTTCATAATTTGTTTAGACATCCCCTAATAGGTGGTACATGCCCTCAGTTTCCAGGTTTTTACTACTACAAAAAGAGATGCCACAATTATTTTTTGTACATATGGGTTCTTTTCCTCTTTCCTTGATCTCATTGAGGATATATGTGTTTGTCTTTTTCTTTGTTATCTTTGGGGTAGATGCATATTAGTGATAGAACTAAGGATATATACAGCTTAAAGACTTTTGGGGCATAATTACAAAGTGCTCTCCAGAATGGCTGGACCAATTCATACTTTAGTTGCCTCAGTGGAGTCTATTTTCTTGCAGTCCCTCCAACATTTGCCATTTTCCTTTTTGTGGAGAATCATTTTTGCCAGTCTATTGAATGTGAGGAGGAACTGCAGAGTTCCATTACTCTTAACAGTCTCTGTAGACTCACTGTTCATGAAGTTCCTTTTTTTCTTCATAAGATAATCTCCCAAGAAAATTTTTCCTCCTCTTCTTTTTTTCTCTGTCTTCTCCATAGTTTTTCTTCAACCATTTTTATTAACTCTTCAGTTTTTTCAAAAGCTACCACATCTAATCACCAAATCCTAAACATTCTATTTGATTCTTAAAATACAGTAACAGTAGCTATAGCTTTTGTGGAGGTTATATTTCTCCTTGGGGTAAAAATATATGGGGCACCCCAAAATCATCACTAATAAGACATTTACATGAATACTTCAAAGAGATAGAAGAGGAAAAAGACTGATATATGTATAAAAATATTTATTTGCTCTTTTTGTAGTGTCAAAAAACCCCTAGAAACTAAGGGAGGACATGCAGTGATAGTTATAATAATGATAGGTAAATGGAATAAATAGCACCTTTATAACACATCAATAAGCACAAAATAACATTATATATAATTCAACCATGAATTACTTCTAAATAAATGAATAACCCTTTTTTCTTTCTTCTGAGGCAACACAATTTAGCCTGTTTACAGCTTGACTGTTTCTAATTCATTTATGGTCTATTGATCTTTCAACTAAGTTAATCAATGTTATAGATTCTGTACTGGAATTTTTAAACTCTCAAGCTTGGGCTTTTGTTCGTTTTACTTAGGGGACTGTGGAGCTGAGGTTCTAGGAAACAAAGTTATTGGCTCTGGGTTCAGCCTTCTCTCCCTTTGCTTGCATTCAGCTTCCTCTTAGTCACAGGCAAAGTTTGAGTTTATATATATAGTGTCTTTTTTACTTGAAGCAACTTCCTTTTCAGGAGTTCTCTGTACAACCTGGAAAGTAAGGTGGACTTTGGTATTTGTGAGCTGCTAATTCTATGCAGCACTTTCCTTGTGAACATTTTTAAACAGTCCTTTTCTATCAAGCCAGTGGTTTGTTCCATTTCTTATGACCACAGGCCTTTGGGCCACCTCACCTTCTGGTTTCTTCTTCAGCCTAGAAATCTTACTTAAAATATCTCATTTAAATTTTTCTACCTGTTTTTAAAACCTCTTTAATTTTGGACTCAAATCTCTCTAATACTCTTAACATCAAAGTCTTTACCCAGAACTCTTGTTACAATATTTTTTGATAATTTGCTACAATTTTTGATAACAAACTTGGGCCTTCTATCATTTCTTACTCAGTGCTGGTTCTTGGGTTAATAGCTTGCTTTATATCAAATGAAAATTCTTTTCCCACTTGCACTTGATATATGGCCTTTGAGTTCACATTTAAATGGAAATAGTCTGCCTCTGTATCTTTTAAAAAAAATTATGGTTTAATTTATCATTAAAATTTTTTTGAGTTCCAAATTCTCTTTTTCCCTTGTGCCCCTCTCTTCCCCCTGAAAGGGCAAGTGATGTAATATTAATTATACATGTGAAATAATGTAAAACATATTTCCATATTAACCACATAGCAAAAAAAGCAAGAAGAATAGTGAGAAAATTATACTTCAGTTTGCACTCAGAATTCATCAGTTCTCCCTTTCTGGAAGTGGATAGCATTTTTTCATCATGGGTCCTTTGGAATTGTCTTGGATCATTGAATTGATTAGGGCAGCTAAGTCAAAGTTGATCATTGTTACAATATTGCTGTTACTGCGTACAAGGACCTCCTGGTTCTCCTCTTTTTGTTTTGCGTGAGTTCGTATAGGTCTTCCTGTGTTTTTCTGAAATCATCTCCCTTGTCATTTTTTTAAAACAGCACAGTAGTACTTCGTCACAATCATATGCCACAACTTGTTCAGCTGTTCCCTACTGATGAGCATTCCCTTAATTTTCTGTTCTTTGCCACCACAAAAAGTGCTGCTATGAAAATTTTAGTACCCATAGATCCTTGTGGTATTACTGGGAATACACAACTTAATAGCCCTTTGGCCACAGTTCCAAATTGTTCTCTGGAGTGGTTGGACCAGTTCACTGCTCCACCAGCAGTTCATTAGTGTACCTATTTTCTCTTATCCCCTTCCAGCATTTGTCATTTCTAATAGGTATGAGGTGGTAACTCAGAATTTTTTTAATCTGCATTTCTCTAATTATTAGTGAGTTAGAATATTTTATATGCCTATTTGATTTGATTTTTTCTTCTGAAAACTACCTATTCATATCCTTTAACCAATTATTAATTGGGGGAATGGCTTTTATTTTTATAAATATGACTCAGTTCCCTGTTTCTCAAATATTTTTATTTCTTTATTTTTAAATTTATTTAGTATTTTTGTTATTCATTCATTTCAGTTATATATAACTCTTTGTGACCTATTTTGGGGTTTTCTTGGCAAAGATACTAGAGTGGTTTGCCATTTCCTTCTCCAGCTCATTTTACAAATGAGGAAACTGAGGCAAACAGGATTGAGTGATTTGCCCAGGAACATATAACTAGTGTCTGAGGCCAGAGTTGAATTCAGGAAGATGAGTCTTCCTGACTCCAGGTCCATTTCTCCATCTACTGTACCACCTAGTTGTGCTTTATTTAATATATCTATTTATAAATATTATTTATTTTTATTCATCAACTATATTTTCTTTCTTTTTTTTTTTTAAGTGAGGCAATCGGGGTTAAGTGACTTGCCCAAGGTCACACAGCTAGTAAGTGTCAAGTGTTTGGTCTGAGGCCAGATTTGAATTCAGGCCCTCTTGCCTCCAGGGCTGGTGCTCTATCCACTGTGCCACCTAGCTGCCCTTATCAACTATATTTTCAAATATAGCTTCCTTATATTTGAGAAATGAGGCCTTTATCAGAGAAACTTAAAATTGTTTTTATATTACTTCATTGTCTGTAGTAAGTTTTAGCAAAATGTAGTTTTCCTGGTTTCTCTTTTACTCACATCTGTTTTTGCTTTTGCTCTGTCTGATGTTATGATTCCTGTTCCTGCCTCTTTTTTTTTTTTAACTTCAGCTGAAGCATATTGGATTCTGCTCAAGCCCTTTATTTTAACTGTGTACGTGTGTCTTTCTTTTTCAAATGTCTTTCTTTTTTTCTTGTGTAAATAACAAATTGTTTGATTATGGTTTCTAATCCATTATAATCCGTTATGGGTGAGCTCATCCCATTCACATTCATAGTTATGTTTACTGTGTATTTCCCTCTATCCCATTTTCTTCTGTTTATCATCTCTCTTTTTATCTTGTTCTTCCTAAAAAGTCTGTTTTACTTTTGACCATTGATTCCCTTAATCCTCCCTTTTTATCATTCTCTTTTTCCCTTCCTCTTACCCCCTTCTCCTCCTATTTTCGTGTTGGGCAAGATAGATTTTTATACCCAACTGAGTTCCCCTGTATGTGTACTTATGTACGTATGAGTATACACACAGAGACACACATATATTCTGAAAAGAATGAGGTTCAAGCATTGCCCACCCCTTTCACCATTTTCCTCTTTACTGCAAAAGCTCTTATTGTATTCCCCCTATGTGAGAAAGTTTTCACCATTCTGTCTCTCCCTTCCTCCTTCTCCCAGTGTATCACTATTTCTTTTTAGATCATCCCAATATAAATCCATG